ACGGGCCCAGACCTCACCCTGGACAGCAAGGGGGAATGTGGGTCATTCACTGGCCAGCATGAAAGTCTGTGATCCTCGCCCCTGAGGTGAGCTCACCCCTGATCCATCAGGTCTCAGACAGGGAGGAGTGGCCCAATGTGGCCTTCTAGGGAATTTCTGCCCTAAAAAGAATTGTATAAGGAAGTGCAGGGGTGCTGGAAGTCCTAGTTCACAGGGAGCAGTGGTGTTTATGGAACGAGGCCCAACTGTAGCCTTAAAAACTGCATCACAAATCTTTCCTCTGGATACAAAACGAGCAGGAAAGGACATCGGGGTCCTGGACCAGGATGTCAGGAGGATTCCCATCTAGGTCAGGGGTGATCACAGAGCCCCTAGAGGGGCCGGAGGAGGGAGAGTCCTGCCTGCCCTTAGCCCATCTGCACGTGACGTTCCTCTAGCCTTGTCCTCTCCACGTGCAACCTCTGAGCTTGTACATTGTTCTCCCCACTTGGAGCTGCTGCAATCCAGAGTTTGAACTAGAAAACTACAAGTTCCTAATATTCGGTCAGAAGAAATCTCCACAAGAGAAGCAGAAAATGTTCCCTCTTGCCCCAAAAACAATAGAAAGGCAGCCAACTGTTCTGCGGCAGGACATGGTCCTGGCTGGTGCCATTTGAAGGACACCCACATTTCAGTGGTTGTTGCTCTGCTTTGTGAAAGTCCCTCCAACCTCCAAATCCAGGGAGTTCTGAGGGGCTGTCTCTGCTCCTGGCCCAGGTGAACCACACTGAAATGAACCTGTCCTCTGAGGAAGAGGGTTTTGGGGGCGTCCTTCAGGAGCCAGGGAGGGGGCCTGGCACTTCTCCCTTCTCCCACAACAATAAACTGATGACTCTGTAAGATCCCTTCATTCAAGGAGGAGTGTGAGAGTCTGTGTCTCATTTACATGAGTACAGGGAGTGAAGGAACCACACCACTACTCCCAGGCTGTAATAGAAACAGGACTACAGTATAATATTAAACTTAGCATTTACTATTCACAAAAAAAAATTGCCCCTCCAAATAGGTAAGTAGGGGCTGGGGAAGAGGGATGAGGAAGTCGGGGGGGGTCGATCCCTCCCTTGTGGCCTTCAGGGGACCCCAGAGAAAGGATCACAAAGCTCTCCTTCAGATGAGAACCAGAGGAGGTGACCCAGTGCACCCTGAGTGTTCAGCTGTGTCCCTGTTGCTGGGGAAGAGGCCGCTCTGGAGCTGGGCTCAGGAGCGTCATCGGCCACTGGAACTGGGCTCCATGTTGGGGGCCTGGTGACTGAATAGAAGAGATGATTATTTGGGGGCCTTCCCAGGATCATGACCCCCCGCCCCACACCCACTGCCCTCTGTGCTCCAGGCCCTGTGCTGAGGGCTCAATCAGCCAACAGCACCCCATGCGTCCCTGCCATGGGAGCCATCATTCACCAACATCCGTTTCACAGAGGAGTAAACTGAGTCCCAGAAAGCTGAGGGGAATCACCTGTCACAGGACTCGTCAGGAATGGAGCTGGGATCCCACTGCCAGCTGTCTGATTCCCCAAGACCACACTTGGCCCCAAGTTTTACTGTCCCCTGGGTTCAGCCACTGCCGGCCCAGACACTCCCTCAGCTCTGAGCTTGACGATGCTCACTTCCTCCTGGCCTTGAAGAGAAGCCACATGCTGCCAAACCACTGGGTCAGCGACTCTGGATGCAAGGACAGTTGTGGCTACAGGAAGGAGCCACAGCTCAGGTGACCCTCCCAGAGCCTGCCAGCAGCTGGAGTCCAGGTACCCCAGGGATCGCCATGCAACAAGGCCTGGGGCTGCCCGGGGAGCCATGGACACAGATAGAGTCCTCCCCTGCCCTCCCCCAGCTCCTGCCCACCCTCACCTCTTTCCCTTGCTGAGCTGCTCCATGGCCTGAAACCAGGCCCCAAATCGCTCCTTGGGCTCAAGTTTGTAGTTATCTGCCGCCTCCTGGAGCAGCAGGATCTCCCTCATTATTTTGTATTCCTGGGGCCAGAGGGCAGGAGAGAATGCAGACAGGGCCTGGGTGGGGGATGATGTAGGGTCTTGTGAGGGGTAAGGAAGTGGGGCAGGGCCGGTCCTGGGTCTTTGCTCACATGGTTCCCTCCAATTCCATCCTGGCTCTACCTGTTCGCAGAATGGGAATAATCAGCCCCTCCTCCAGAAAGTTTTCCTTGATGCCATCCCCCTCCCCCTCCCACCAACTGGATGGGTCTCCCACTTGTCTGTTATCAAACTCTCCCAATAAATGTGAGGTGTAGGGGGTGGGGCCAGGGAGTGTTCTGCCTGGAGAGTCTCTGGTTTCCACTCCCCTTCCCTCCCCCACAGAGAGTGCCACAGCCGCTCGCCTCAGTCCCTTTTCTCCATGTTGATCTTATTCCCCCAGAAGGCAGACAGAGTCCATTAGAAAGAGCCCCCTGGCCATAACTAGCCCCCATCTCCACCCCTTCTCATGTTGCACTATCACCAGGGGGCAGGCTCTTCCAGAAACAGGACTTGGACCTGGGCCAGGCTCTGGGCTCCACAGTAGAGGGGACAGGGGAGCGGAGGCCAGAGACCTTGTAGCCCAACCCTCTCTGATGACAGATAGGGAGACTGAGGCCTCAGGCAAGAAGGGACAGCTCAGCCACTGATGTGCTTCCTGACTTGGAGGGGCCTGACTTCACTCTCCCACGGGCAGGGCCTCAGGGAGAGGCTGAGTCCAGCTCAGACACAACCTCCCACAGCTCTGCAGTCAGGCAGCTCTGAACTTCACCAGCCCAGGGAACCTGGACGGCAGCTTAGGTGGAGGCTTCATTCACTCATCGCTGAGATGGGCCTGACGCCCTGGCTCCCAGGGCAGCTGGGAGACTCCCATGAGAGGAGGTTTGCCCAGTGCTGACAGCTCAGGGCTCAGCACGGGGCTCTCTCCTCCCAAACCTGCTCACTTCCAATGGAGGATTTCAGGCTCTGTGGCACCAGGAGCAGGGCTGGAGGAGGGAGGGCCCTCCTCTCTTGATTTGAGGCCTCCAGCTGGGAGGGCAGAGCCCCTCCTGTCTGACCCTGGAGCCTTTCCCCTACAGGACCCTCATCTGCTGTTGCTGCTTCTCCTGGACTCTCTGGGGGCTCCATCTCCAGAGTGGAAAACTTGAAGGGCCCCTCCTGCCAGGGTCAAGAACAGGACACTGAGGTCACACACCCCTCACCCCATTTCTCCTCAGCACCATGACCTCAGACCCTGGACATCTGACTTGAGTCAACTGGCACCAATGCCACTCCATCCTCCAGCATGTTCTAATTCTAGAACAAGCCCAGCTCCAACTCTCACTCTGGGTGTGAGCTTGGGCCTGCAGCCTGGCCTCCCTGAGCCTGCTTCCTCATCTGGAAGGTGTGAGAACTCCATCTGCCTCCCAGAGTCTCCTGAGGACTCGGTGTCATGTGCCTGTCATCACCGCTCTCCCCTCACAGCTCCAGGTGGAGCAGGCAGAAAGCTCCCGCATTCCTTTCCTCCGTTTTACCCCATCACCACCCTGTGAGGCCTGCACCACATGATCATCATCCCTCCATTTCACTGATGAGGAGACTGAGGCCCACAGAGTGCAGTGACTTGCTCAGGAGCCCAGAGAGGAGAGGCCACTTGCCTCTCCCAGCCAGAGACGCTGTTCCAGATGCCCGCACCTGACCCCAGCCCCACCACTGACCAGAGCCCTGTCCTCTGAGCTCTCAAGGTGTGTCCTAGGCCCAGTCGTGGATGGAGAGGGACTGAGTCTTGGGAGCCTGTTTGAGTGGCTCCTGCCTGCCCCAGCCCCCCTGGAGTCAATGGCCTCCAGACTGGAACAGAGGCCATGCCAAAGCCTTCTCCTCCCTGAGGAACTGAAACTGGCAAACAGCCATTGATGATTAAGCGGCTAGTAACTATGGGGGATTGGAATTTGCCAGCTCAGAACATGGCTCTGCCTGAATGACGTTTTGGCCCCCACCCCCACTAACTAACCAAAGGAGTTTGGGATGGGAAGCCTGCCCCCAGAACAGGCCATCACCATAGACATCTCCGGTGTCTGGGTGGGTCTGTGCTAAGCCCATTCTTAGTTCTGGTTACCCTTTATGAGAGATATTTACATTTGAAAAGAAAATCTCCATCTGTAAATGTATCTTCTTCCCTGCACCAGGAAGAAGGGGGGAATGGTCTTACCTAGAAACTTATCAGAATGGAAGGCGAGGACTTAAATCTGCATGATAAACCTACTCGTTGTTAACTGTGCTGTCTGGGCAATATGCCATCTGACTCCCACTAGGTTCCTATAGATGACATCTCCCTGGAGCCTGGGTCACCATGGTAATGGGTGTTTGAGATATTTTTTTCAGGAACTGAACCCCTTATCCGCTTCAGGCTGAGACCACCAACACATCAACTGAGCCCTTTTGACGGCAAGAGGTTGGAACTCCACCCTCAGGGCATGCTAATGCTGCCATTCTGTGAACATGTGTCCTACAAAGAGGCATGGAGGCTGACTACGCCTGCGCAGATCATCAATTACTTCATCTCTCCTCACCTCCAATCATTTCAGATCACCTTGCTCCCTTCCCCATAAATACCCCTGAGTCCCTATCTTCGGGGAGGCAGATTTGAGACTTGTTCTCTCGTTTTCCTCACTTGGTTGCCTTGTGATTAAACCCTCTCTCTCTGCAATCTCGTCGTCTCAGTGATCGGCTTTCTGGGCGGCGGGCAAAAATGGACCTGGTGCGGTAACAGAACCCCTCAGGACATTCCCCTGCACACAGCTCTCTCTTCATCCACTCAGGAAGTGGACCCCCAAGGTGCCGCCTCTGATCAACAGGGAAGGGGGTGACAGGACACTTTGCTTCCTTGTTTATATATAGCTTCTGACATCCATTCAGGAAGGAGCCACTTGTTACGGTACCAGGTCCATTTTTGCCTACCACCCAGAAAGCCAAACACTGAGACAATGAGATTGCAGAGAGAGAGGGTTTATTAACCACAAGGCAGCCAAGTGAGGAAATGGGAGAATGAGTCTCAAATCCGCTTTCCCTACAACAGGGACTCAGGGGTATTTATGGGGAAGGGGGCATGGTGGTCTGAAATGATTGGAAGTGAGGAGAGATGAGGTAATTGATGATCTGTGCAGGCATAGTCAGGCTTCATGCCTCTTCATAGGACTCATGTTCACAGAATGCGGCATTAGCATGCCCTGAGGGTGGAGTTCTAACCTCTTGTTGTCATAAGGTTGCTTATCAGACACATGTCTGTGTGGGCCCAGTAGATGGGTTGGTGGTCTCAATCCTGCCTGAGGTGGACAAGGGGTTCAGTTGCTGAAAAAATAGCCCAAACACCCATTACCATGGTGACCAAGCTCCATGGAGATGTCATCCATAGGAACCTGGTGGGAGTCAGATAGCATATTGCCTAAACAGCACAGTTAACAATGGGTAAGTTTATCATGCAGATTTAAGTCCTCACCATCCGTTCTGATAAGTTTCTAGGTAAGGCCATTCCTCCTTCTTCTTGGTACAAGGAAGAAGATACCTTTACAAATGGAGATTTCCTTTATAAATGTAAATGTTTCTCATAAACGGCAACCAGAACTAAGAATGGGCTTAGCAAGGACCTTCCCAGATACCCATCCCAGATACCCGGAGATGTAATGGCCTGTTTGGGGCCAGGGCTCCCATCCCAAACTCTTTTGGTCAGTTAGTGGGGGTGGGGGCCGAAGTGTCTTTCAGGCAGAGACATATTTTGAGGTGGCCAATTCTGATCCCCCATAGTTACTAGCTGCTTAATCATCAATGGCTAACTGTTTGCCAGTTTCACACTGTTGGGGAAGAGGGAGAATCCCCCTCTGCCCTTTCCCTCAAAGTTCTTATGGCTGGCCAAATAATTAAAAGACAGGTTATCAGGAGAAAATAATACCAAGTTTAATAACATGTATACATGGGGGAAACCAGGGAAACTGAGTTTCTCAACACAATGGCAGAGAGTCTCATCTTAAATACCATCTTCAGCTAAAGACAAAGGAGGATGTGGGGCGGGGTGGTGGTTTGGGATTTCAGAGGGGAAGAAGACAATTCACATGGAGAGGGAAATGCAAATGTTTGTCAGACAATTCTTTGCAGGGCCACCTATAGAGAATGTGGCCGGAGAGACAGAATTCACAGTAATCAAGAGTATGTAGATTTAAGTCCTCTCCTTCCATCCTGATAAGCGTTTTCACAGATAAGGTCATCCCCCCCCCCTTCCCAGTACACAGAGGGAGATACCTTTACAAAGGGAGATTTCCCTTATAAATGCAAATGTTTTTCTGGCAACTCCTTGCAGGGTCACCTAGAGAATGTGCCCAGGAAGAGACAGAATTTTTGATAGGATGAGCCTGTTGGTGCTTTCCTATTGTAACATCTATTCTGCATTATATTACAGCCATCATATGATAGTAACTCCTTCCTGGAACAGGTCTTCTATGTTAAATTCTTTAGGCAGTTTGGAGGAGGTCGAATGTGCATCAGAGAAAATAATCAAGGTAAAGAGATATATTTCAGGGTGGCCAATTTTGATCTCATAAAACACTAAGAATCTATCAGGTCCCCAGACACTTCTAAGCCACCTGGGGCACATGTCATTGCCAACTAGGCACCAGGTGAGACACCTGTGATTGACTGGCAGTGACTACTCTAGGGGCCTAGTGTGGGGGGTTGGGTCACAGATGCACACAGATCTATTCCTCATCCAACCGTTCAGAACCAAGGCTGAGCAGCCTGTTTGTCCACCTGGGCCGTGGGAATCTCCTGTCATGCCCGTCCCTGGAGCAGGCAGCGTGCCCTCCCCTTGGAGACGTGTTGAAGACAGAAGGAGCAGCAGGGGCCCAGCTTCCTGAGGACAGACTGGGCTGGTTTAAGGAAGAAGGGAACCCCAACCACCACCCCATCCACCCAAAAGCCTGCAAGAAGCTATGTCCAGCAGGATGGACCCACATGGAAGCCAGAGACCTGCTGATTCCACCAGCTCAGCAACTCCCCCTAGAACAGCCCAGCCACCGCCACTGTGTCCCATGACCAGGGCCTCCTGCCCACAAACCACACCCACATGCCCATGGTCCACACAGATCCCACTTCTTGTTAATCTGGACAAGATAGACTGGAATTTTCAGAGAAACTTTAAGTGAGAAACCATCAAAACCACATCCTGCCCAGTCCCCCTTCCCCTCTCACCCTCCTCCTTTCCCAGACTTCCAACCTCCATTCTACCTTGGTCATCAGCTCCTGGCTCAATGCGTTGTCTTCACTATACAGCTCTTTAAATTTTTCAGAGCTCTCCCTGAGGGGAGGGAAAGAGGAAGGATAAACTGAGGAATAATGGGGGATGGGGATTGAGTGCAAATAACTTTTATTTTAAAAACAAAAGATCCAAACTACCTGGGTGAGGGTTTTCATTGGGTTCCTCTGAGCACTGAGGTCTCTGTGGGACTGGGGAGGGGGCTCTCAAGTTGGTCACATGGGGTTTCCATTCCCATTTCTATTGAGCAGCTCTGTTTTGACCAGTTTTGGTTTTAACTGGGCGTAGAGTTCTGTTGCTATAAAGTCGACACTTGCAAATCTCCAGTTTGGCTCAACCCAGGATCTGACATTTAAGGAACCTGATTCCTGAAGCAGAACTGGTGGCCTAAGGTCCCAGGGATGATCGGAGTTCCTGCCCACCAGCCCAGGCCCTGTCCTCAGGGTTTGCTGCCCCCCAGGAGGTCCCAGCTGACTAGGGGGCCATGGCAGACTTATGGGAGGTCCATCATCCATCTGGTCCTCCCTTGAAGAGAGGCCTACCCACCTGGTAACTTTCCCCCATGTCTTCCTCAGACAGTGGATGGAGACACTCTGCAGAGCAGCGAGGATAGCATGCAGTGAGGAGAAGTTTCAGAGGATGTGGCATTCCTGGGGAAGGGAAGAGGATGAGATGTAAGGGGGCACTGGAGCCCTGCTTGCTCTGGCTTCAGTCTCCCTCAAGGTAAATCTCCCCTCCTGGATGAGACAGATGCTCAGGGAGCCCCAGAAGGGCACATTTAGGACCCAAAGAGTAACACTCACAGGGAGGGGGATTTTAGCTCCACCTAGGGAAGGAACCAGGTAGTGAGCATCCTCCCACTGGGACCTGGAGTTGAGGTCAGTGGGCCCCTGGCAGGAAGGGCCTAGGGACTTGCAGGGGCTTAGACCACACACTTCAATCCTGGGAGCTGATAAAGGTGGAGAGGCAGTTCCCAAGGCTCCAGAGAGGGCCTCTCTGGGCCTCTGACAGCACAGCTGGGCCACCTGGATCCAGGTTCCACCAGCCTGTTCCTGACCGGGGCCATCATGCTCAGGTTCCCGAGGCAGGTGGTCACGACGCAGTTGGCCACACTGTTGAACTGCACGACTGTGGCACGAACGGTGGGCGCCAGGTGCTCATTGCCAGGCTTGTTCCTCTTGCTCCAGGTGGAGCCCAGGCACTGAGAGGTCATCACCATCTTGAACAGCTCCTGGGAACAGGGGGAGTGTCACCCAGCCCTGCCATAGCCCAGCTCCGTACCAAAGCCCCCAAAGTCCCAGGCAGGGGTCCCTGTTCAGAACTGGAGCTCAGGAAACTGAGGATGTGGCCTGAGCCTTGTGAGAGTCCCTGGGTTTTGTTCCCTGTCCACTAAGGGCACCAAGCACAGGATGACCCAGGACCCAATACTGGCAGGGAGGGGAGAGGGGCATTTGCATCCTCGCTAACTCCAAGCTCCAGAAAGTGGCCCAAGTTAGTTCACCCCAACGGGTCATCTTCCAACCACTCTGATCATTTCTCTGGTCTGGTGCCCCAATCTGATGCACATTCCCCCCGTGGCAGCTATAAACATATGCTTTGTTTATCTCCCTTGTAGTTAATTGTGACCGAACCAGGTTCGTTTTGCCCGCCACCCAGAAAGCCAGTCACCGAGACAACGAGATTGCAGACAGAGAGGGTTTAATCACAAGGCAGCCAAGTGAGGAAACGGGAGAATGAGTCTCAAAACCGCTTCCCCAAAAACAGGGACTCAGAGATATTTATGGGGAAGAGGGCAAGGTGGTCTGAAAAGTGTAGATAGATGATTGGAGGTGAGGACAGATGAGGTAATTGATGATCTGCGCAAGTGTAGTCAGACTCCATGCCTTTTCATAGGATGCGTGTTCACAAAATGGTGGTGTTGGCATGACCTGAGGGTGGAGTTTTTAGCCTCTTGACGTCAAAAGGTCACTTGTCGGACATCTGTGTGGGCCCAGTTGATGGGTTGGTGGTCTCGACCAGCCTGAAGTGGACAAGGGGTTCTAATTCCTGAAAAACAGCTCAAACACCCATTACCATGGTGACCCCAGCTCCAGGGAGATGATATCTATAGGAACCTAGTGGGAGTCAGATAGCGTGTTGCCCAAACAGCGCAGTTAACAATGGGCGGGGGAACAACTGAAAGCTATAATCAGTAATTTCAAAAAGGAAAGAAAACTTTAGTTCCTAGCTACCTAATCATCAATGGCTAACTGTCTGCCAGTTTCATCAAGTGTCTAATAAGTGCTGAGGCAGGTGGGAGGGCAACCCCTGGACCTGGCTGCACATGGTGAGCTCACCTATTGGGCCAGGCTCCGCCCAGCGTTCCATCTGTTCTGCCTCATTGAATAGGCACAGCCACTCTGTGCCGCAGGTCCTGGTAGTGTCCATCTCTACTGTCCACAGGTGGACAGCAAAGGCTTAGGGATTCAGAAAGTTGCCCAGGTCATATGGTTGGTAAGGGGTGGAGCCGGGATTTGGGCCCAGATCATAGGAGTTCGGGTCAGGTCTGGGGCAACGATGGCAGAGGGAAGGCCTGCCCCACCCCGCCCTGAGAGCCCAGCTACTCCAGCATCCATCACGGTCAACCGCTCCACCACCAGCTTAGGAGGGAAGGCCATGAGGTTAGGCTTCTCCTCACTCGGCTAGTTCTTACGGGCCACAGGCCTGGGGCAGGGAGGCTCTGGGGCT